GTCTTAAGGGGCTTGTCGCCAAGACGAAATGATTGGCGGTAAATCGCCAGTCGTAAAGCAGCTCTGAATCTGACAGCCAGGCATGAGACTAGTTACTTGCAAAGATGAATGATTACTTACTTACTTACTTAGTTACTCATGGAGCTGAGCCCTTCTGGAGGAGCCGCCAATTCTGCAGCTACTCAAGAATTTCGCAGCATTTTATGGAACCCGAAGGTACATTACCGTGTTCACACGAGCCCTCCACTGGTCCCTATCCTGAGCCAGATTTATTCAATCCATACCATCCCATCCTGTCTCTCTAAGATCCATTCTAATATTGTCCACCCACCTACGCCTTGGTCTTCCCTGTGGTCTCTTTCCTTCTGGCTTTCCGACCAATATCCTATACGCATTCCTCGTCTCCCCCATTCGTGCTACATGACCTGCCCACCTCATCCTCCTTGACTTGATCATTCTAATTATACTTGGAGAAGAGTAGTTATAATTTTCATGTAAGTGAATTAAGTTGCAAGATGCTACTTAGGCAGATACAGTTACAGGAACGCTAGAAAGAAGAAATTTAAAAACACAGATATGAAGATGGAAAGTGATGTAAATGTAGCTTAATATTAAGAGGTTACATCGATATAAGGCCACATAAAATTCAATACATCCTGTGTGGTTCAGAGTGAACTTTCGTGAGATATAATTGGGTAAACAAAATGTTCAAAATGAGATTAGTGCATTTCTCATTAAAGCTGTAAAGGCTGAATTTCTTTTTGTCATTAACCCTTTAAAGGGTAAATTTCTTAAAAATAATATAATAATATAGGTGATAAATCAGCTCGTACCTCACAGGAAACACATTACTTCTCCGTTACAGAGATAAACCCATGGATGCTATGCAATATTTAGGGAAACAGTCGTCGATTATTGTGGGAACCATACGAAACACACAAATACGCCTAACCTCTGTGGGCAGAAAGCAGATTTTTTGTATGTTAAGGCAGGTGGTACATATAGTAACCAAATAGCTTTAAATGGTCAAAATAGTGGATTGCAAGCTCAGCTTTTTAAGTGAGCACATAATGAAATAGTGATAAAAATATATCGCATCATGAATATCTAAAATTGTTCCTTCTGAAAAAAAGAAATGATATTTAGCAAGTTAAGATAAATCTGCTTCCATGCTACCACAAGATTTTTCATCCTGTTCTTTCCTAGTTGCCCAAGGGCCGCCGTTTTTCTTACTTTGAGTCTCGACACGCTCTGCCAATAGACAGCAGCAATGTTTGGCATCGTGACAGTATGTAAGCTCTCACGCAATAACTAACTAACTAACCAACTAACCAACCAACCAACCAACTGACTCCACAACTAACTCCGTGGAGCAGTGTTCTTCTTAAGAAGTCGCCAAGCTCTCATAATATAAATAAATTTCACAACATTTTATGGAACCCGAAGGTTCATTACCGTGTTCACAAGAGCCCTCCACTGGTCCCTATCCTGAGCCAGATGAATCCAGTCCGCATCACCCGATCCTACGTCTGTAAGACTATTTTAATATTGTCCTCCCATCTACGTCTGGATTATCTTAATGGTCTCTTTCCTTCTGGCTTTCCCACCAGAATCGTATATGAATTATTCTTCTCCCCAATGCTTGACACATGCCCCGCCCATCTCCTGCTTGACTCTCACCTAATGGAGAAAACTTCAAGATTTCCTTCTTTTGAGAAACAAATTTGTTACTTTTGTATATCTTACCGTGTCGTTAGGAATCCTCTGTGTCCTGATATCTGTCCTGTCGTAGATTTCGCTCAAATGGTACCTCAAAGGACAAACTGTCCGTGCACTGCATCCAGGTAAATATATTACCAGATTCAGAATTACTGGGTTTTGGGGCTTCATCCATCGTTCGGTATTTTAGAGACTAGAAAACACGACGTTTCGGAAACTGCATCGGTTTCCAGATCTGGGCCAGTGATCGAGGTTAGCTCTTTCTAAGGGACCCAACTGAGTAGGTGTCTTCCCCCCTCACCTGAGAACGGAAACAGATCCAGTTTCCGAAACGTCGTGTTTTCTAGTCTCTAGAATACCGGGCTATGGAAAGAATCCAAAAACCCAGTAATTTCAAGTGTTATATACCCCATCGTCAGAACGCTTTAGAAACTACATATTAGCATATATTTGTTGACATCCCATTAGGGTTTCAGAAGGAAGAAGGCCGCGAGAAAATCAGAAGCAAAAGTTATTACAGGGCTGGCTCTCTCTCCACTCCGGAAGTAAACTACATAAGACAATATTTGGACAAAGCAGAAGCAAATTATTAAGCGGGCAGTGGAGTGAATTCCATAAAAGGGAACTTACTGATTTGTACAGCTAATTTGGTACCGTTAGAACGTCAGTCTTTTTCGGCGAATACTGTTTAGGCTCTCAGAACCGTTCCTATTCGAAATAAATTCTACAGCAATGTTTGCCTATGGTTTTGACATCTGATTAGGGCCATTACGGAACTGCGGATGTCACATTGCACAGAATAAGTCGGACTTGCATACACTCTCACAATAGGATTCAAATCTTTTATTCCAAGAATACACGCGCCTTTAACGGCAAGCCAGTTTGCGCGTTCCTGCTGCTGGTAGGATGGACGTTGTGTTGAGAAAAACTGTTCAAGAATGGATATTTGGCTAAACTGTACCAGGACTAGAGGATAATATTAAACTGGATCTTGGAATTAGACAGAAATGAAGAATACTATCTTTTGGGATATAACATCTTGTAGTCCGTTGAAAGTCAATTGACATTTCGGAAGACCATCGCCAGTATCTTGCTCCGCTTATTTTATGGAGGTGATATGTTCCTCCGAAACGTCGGTTGACTTTCAAAGGACTACACGGCGCGTTATATCTCAGAAGGTAGTACTCCTAATAACCACCGTTGTGAGAACCTCACATCTTACATACAACGGGCACAGGTTCGTGACTAATGATGGTCTTTTGTTCAGTTACCACACGGTTTGTTTAAATGTAGATCACATAGTCATGCCTGTTTACACGTTCCCTTACCGGCCCTGAAGTCTAGTTCAGGCCTTTGTCTACTCTGTAATAGCTTGGGAGAAGGGTACAGTATTTTCGAAACGTGTGGTGTGGTTCCCACAATGGAGGATCAGCAATCACAAGGCAACGCATGGGTACGGCTGCGTTCCTCGTTCTGTAATAGAACTCCCGATTCAAGTATTTCGACAGTTCTGTATTACTGAGATACGAATCTGCCTGTGGGCAGTGGTAACTGTGTGTACCGCTTGGCCTCACGTACTGTACTTAATTTCGGCCACAGAGTTTATATGTGGAGTTTATTCAGCTTTATAACGAACAGTTTCTAACAGATCCATCTTTGTAACAGAAATACAACATGTTTCTTTGAAGGTATGACACAGTTCCCAGTATACACAAAGCAATAAAAATTTATGTAGCGTCTCCCCTTACCAGAAGGACGATAGGCCGAGACCTGGGAACCTTCAAACAAAACAGTTCCCCCCCCCCCATCCGAAGTAAAGTGTCGTCCACATCTCCCAGTATTTCTCACTTTCACCTGTTCTTCTGCTATACTTTATACCCCTCTTCCTCTCCCTCACCCTGCTAAAATAGAAATCTCTCTCTTCTCCGATTTCTATCTGTCTCTTACAATGAGCCCAATAGAACATACATAAAGATATTGTCACGCGCATGCCTGACTGTAGACGGGGTTTGGTTTGGTGAACGGATTTGTTGACCACTCGTACACACGACTCGGAACTACAAGGAATTATAGCACTATCGCTAATCCTCACACTTCACAAATCACTAAACCTCACGCTAAGTGTTCTCAGTCTGCTTTCATTAGTCGTTTCCTGGTAACGGATCTTTACAATGGACATTCTTCAACTTCTGTGCTGACGTCGTTACTGTCCGGCAAGTATCCATCAACTGAACTTAACTGTCTAACTTTGTATCGCTTATAACCTCTCGGCAACGACTACTTAGAAAACACATCTCCTCCACTTTTGAAGTGCAACTGTTGCATTATTAACACTCTGCTGCCTAGCAACGGGAACGTGTTCACCGAGCCGTTGCCCAGAAACTTGTCTGGTATATCTGCCCATCTCGTGGTCATTGCATAGCAATTGGAACGTGTTCACCAAGCCATTGCCCAGAAACTTGTCTGGTACATCTGCCCATCTCGTGGTCATTGCCTAGCGACGGCTATACACGCCGCAATGTTACATTTACTGCATACTTCTGCGCTTATCGTGTATTGTAACAATGGCCGTAGGAGTGGTACATCAATATTTCAGTAGAGAGGATTTCTAGATGATCTTTGAACGTTTGTTCCCAAAGTTCCTACTGAATTTCAACAGAGCCATGACACCTCACTCCGTGTAGTGATGAACCGATGTCTGGACATCCGGATTTAGAATCCCAGTAGGCGCAAGCGATTTTTATCTTCTCCATGGCGCCCAGACGGGGTCTGGGACCCACCCAGTCCCCTGTCCAATCGGTACAGAGGTGGGTTTTCCCGTGGGTAAGGCGGCCAGGGTTTGGAAGATGACAACTCAGCTCCATCTAGTGTCGAGATCAAGAATGGTGGAGCTATACCTCCACTCCGTTTTACGTTGTCGTGACGCATTGTATAATTAATTAAGCACAGAAACAACTTGACCTTCTTACATTATTTTAGTATACTGTGATTTTCTAACCGGAGTGTCAGCCATTCTTTAAAGTTTCATGCAGTGTACGTTGTGATACTGAAAGGAAAGCGCTTATATTTTAGGGCACTGTTTCTGAACCGGTCGCGGTCTCACAAAGGTTGAGAAACACCGTTTTAGGTTAACAGCGGCTCGTTGTTCTCGTTTGAAATGTTACTTAGTAGACATCCGCATAATAAGCGGTTCGATTAGTTGATTGGTCAGTTAGCCCCCCGTTCCCTTAATTAATGAGACGTCAATAACAGCGTGAAGTGTTGTCACGTCTGTTTTCCAGCCAGTCGGGAGGCAGCCTTTGCTCACGCCATCGGTGCTGCGGGCGTCGTGCACGCCATATCACGGGCGTGTCGGGACGGACAGCTCAGTTCCTGTGGCTGTTCCCGCACAGGGCGTCCTCGGGACCTGCATCGGGATTGGATCTGGGGAGGATGTGGAGACAACCTGGAGTACGGATACAAGTAAGTGGCTCCCGTAACCTGTACACTTCCTTGAACTAGTCCTTGTTATTAGTGGGATACTGGGAAACTTCTTGGGGGGTAAAGGGCGGCCGGCGCGTAAGGCTGACAACCTCAGCGCCGTCTGTGAGCCGATTATCTAGAAAATATTGGGCCTCGACCTCTCACAACCCTATGAGCCTCCACGGTCTGTTACAGCGATAGCTTTACCCTTTTTTACCTGTCTAAAACATCACTGAAATTGCATCTTCATCAGACCTTTCACTGTCTCATGTAGTTATGTCACCATTTGAAAGTTACTAGATTCTGTTTCAAATATAAGATAAGAATCTAACTCGCCATACCGAACTCCCGTTGAACTCACGGGACATTCATTCCACAAGGTTGCCTGATCAATATGTGACGTACCCTAAAATGCTGGGAAGTTCTTGAGTAGCTACATAACTGGCGGCATCTCAAGAAGGGCTCAGCTCCATGAGTGAGCGAGAGTGATTATTAAATGTTATTAAGGTGAATTCCATGCTTCAGATGGTTAGAACTTCAGATGCTCATTGGTCATACGAATGTCTCTCCTTGCGGTCAAGTTGTATGCAGACTAACAAATTGATCTCCGAGTGACAGCCCTGATGTCAGACCGCGTTCCCTTCGCAGCTTCGTTTGTACGTAGCTACAGCAATCTGCTTCACGCCGGTTCTCATACTCGTACTGTCTCCCCGCCATTGTCTCTTAAGTGGCGAAGAAGCACCCCATAATTTCGCAAAGAAATAGCAAGAAGACAGATGATGCATCCGCAACATGTCGCGGTAATGGGTAATGCCTGGGGGACTCCCCTCTCCACACACACACACACACACACACACACACATAACGTTAGCACATGTTCGCAATCAGTGGCGTGCAGACAGCATGCAGCATATATATATATATATATATGTGTGTGTGTGTGTGTGTGTGTGTGTTATAAGCTGGGAAGTTCGTAGCTAAATTGGCAACAAGTTCCTTAACAGTCGTCTCCTTTAAAATACAGGAAAGCAACATTTACTGTTCATCGAGCTGTGACACTTAGCGCCAGTATGTTGCTGACAGGCAAGCTGATAAAGTGCTGACTTCATTCTGATATCTCGGCTTATAGCTTAATATTGTCACTACCAACCGTGTTGAGGAAAAGGAAATGTTATCCCCGTACACGTCGTAAAGACGTAGGGAGAAGTGGAGTTACAGCTCCACGTATTCTTAACTTAGGCCATAGATGGAGATGAACGGTCCGTTTCAAACTCCGGCCGCTCTGCCTTTGGGAACCCCCCCCCACCAGACATAGTGGATAGGAGGACGAGTGGGCTCCAGAGGGGATCAGGTTAAGGGAAATCTCCATTCTTCTCTCGGCAATGGAACACTGCTTATCCAGCCCACAGCCAGCCTCTAGTCATGTTGACTACTGATGAGAACTGTGTAGGGTAAAATNTGCATAATGAGGAACTTCATAACTTATACTCTTCACCAAGTATAATCAGAATGATGAAATCAAGGAGGTTGAGACGGGCGGGACATTTGGTACGAACGGGGGCCAGGAGAAATTCATATAGGATAGTGGTGGTAGAAAAACTAGAAGGAAAGAGACCACTAGGAAGACCAAGACGTAGGTTGGTGGTCAATATTAAAAGGGATCTTAGATAGATGAGATGGTATGAACTGAATCGATCTGGGTTACAATAGGGACCAATGAAGGGCTCTTGTGAACATGGTAATGAGCCGTCGTGTTCCATAAAATGCTGGGAAGTTCTTGAGTAGCTGCACAACTGGCAGCTTCTCAAGAAGGGCTCAGCTGCGTGAGTGAGTGAGTCAGTGAGCAGCTTTTAAATAAATTTTGTTTCTCTGTAATAGTTGCTGACTGATAAATTAAGTACAAATCCACGAAAACGTGAGGGTGTGGAAGCGTAACTTCATACATTCTTAACCTCGACCTTAGGTTGAGATGAGTGGTCAGCCCCCCCCCCGCCGCTGCTTACTGCTGCGGGAAGAGCCCCCGATACCCACCAACAGGAGGCTGAGTTTGCACCATGTCTGAACGGTGTGGAGAAGACAGTTATCTATCCCTGCTTATAGACGATCCCCGGTTCTCCGGTCATCCAATCCGTAAGCTAATCAGTTGTAGTGAATTGCAGGTTATTGCACAACACTGTTTCACTCAGAACATTATAGCGTTGGAATTTCTGAAGATTCCACAGCCAAGATTTTGAGATCTTGTAGGCGGATACCGACGGATGCAATATGTCCTGATGGTGCGTGTCATCCTGCAAGGAGACACGGTGACACAACCTGCATTAGAGTCTGAATCAGGAGGATGGGTTTGAATTGTTAGCAGTTTGAAGTAAGTAACGGCCAGTTGCTGGGAGTGAACCTCACTTAAGAGAGTCCCTAACTCGGACCAAGTTTGTACCAAGTACGTCCTCAGTAAAGGCGCACTGTGCTACAAGCCGGAAGGTCCTGATGCGGTGATTTGATTTTTCAATTGACCTAATCCTTCCAGCCGCACTGTGGCCCTGGTGTCGACTCAGCCTCTAACAGAAATGAGTACCAGGAATCTTCCTGGGGGTAAGCGCTGCCGGTGCGTAAGAATGACAACCTTGCTGCCATCTGTCAGCCGATTGTCTAGAAAATGTGGGAGCCTCGACGTCTCACACCCCTATGCGCCTCAACGGCCTGTTACAGGGATAGCTTTACGTTTTTAGGTCCTCAGTGACGGGACACGACGGTTCCACCAAAGTAACCTGAACTCTTCAGCAATATGTCGGTAGCCAGCCCGTCACTGTTGCCCAGTAGCCGTTACTGAGCCAGTTGCGGACACAAACTCTACAATAATCTGTAAACGAGATGTTATTGCAACCCACATAATGGATGAGGGGGCGTTATTGCCCGTTACAACCCTTATTAGAAGTGGCAAGATGATTCTGTGCATAAGCAGCTTCTAAGGACCCCCATTTCGCTCCACTTCAATCCCAGATTCGTCATTTATCTTCATGACGTTCCCTCATCACAACCCATCGCTTCGGTTTGTGCTAATGAAATACATGTATGCCTGTCAGTGATGTTTCCAATAGCATGGCGCGGCTAAGGTGTAGAGTCGTGTTTTTTGCTGTTGACCGGTGTAAGCCGAAAGCGCACTGGATCTCATTAAGGATCCTTTAAGGATTGGTATGTGGATTACTTGTCTTGGCGTTGTGAGGACTTTTCTTTTTAATTTTAATAGGTCACTCATGATATTTTTGGTACTTTCTGAGGCAAAATAATTGTAAAGCTATCTCTGTAACAGGCCGTGGAGGCCCATGAGGTTGTGAGACGTCGAGGTTCCCACATCTTCTCTAGAAAATCGGCTCACACTTTGCGTTAAGTCCGTAAGCCTTACGCACGGGCCGCTCTTTACGCCCCAGGAAGATTACTTGTAGTCATTTCTGTTATAGGCTGAGTCGACCCCAGGGCCATAGCGCGGCTGGAAGGATTAGGTCAAAAGAAAAATTAAATGACCTCATATAATAAAGATCACACACACGCTACTTACCTGGTCATACTGTCTCTCAGGTGAAGCTCTGCTGTCACGACTGAAAGTCGAAGCTCATCTCTCATGAATAAAACAAATGACCAATCTTAAACCGTCTCCTTTATACAGAGTGTACCAGGAGGTCATAGTGTCGGTCATTTTAAGCAAAAAAGTGTATATGTACATTGGTCCTATTTTAAACGGTATTTTTAACTGTACAGTTCCAAAACTGTTGATAAGAAAGCTATATTACGTACTGTTCAAGTGACAAAGTTGGTACAGTTTACCCAGTACAATACATTTTCGATGCACTTTGCAACTCGTGTGAGGTCATGGCCTGTTGCTCGTCTGAGTGCATCTTTACGTACTACTGCACTACTGATCTACTGACCATACCGATGGCGTAGTTATTAATGAGTTTAGCACAGGAACAACTTTATCTGTACCTTATTTTTTCCTCTTCTTTCCTTCACTCTAGTTTTTCTCACACGCTCTCAGATCCTTTAGTAGTTCTTGTGAAGGGCTTTAAAGGAAATGGTGCATTGTGTGTTGCAGATTCACTCAAGGATTTGTTGACGTTCGGGAGAGGGAGAAGAATTACCGTCGAGGGTCCAAGGATCAGGGCAGAAGCCTTATGAACCTGCACAATAACGAGGCTGGCAGGAGGGTGAGTGGATGGCCACGGTCTTCTCTTTGTGCATCGGTTTCATGCAGGTCAGGGACATGTCTTGGGACACGGCGTAGCTCAGTATAATGCCCATGCTATGGAATGCATGACAGAGTCCAGACGAGCTCGGGGACACACTCTGACTCGTATGTAATAGTTAATGTGGGCTCCTACTCCAGTGGTAAAGCGACCAGGTGGTGAATTGCCAAATTAAGAATACATGGAGCTGTACCTCCACTGCTCTTCTTGCTAATGTGAGGTAAATTTGTCCTCGTCCTTAACTAATTAACCATTACGTCATGAAGAGGTATTGGAGGATTGGAAATATAACTCTATGCATTCGGAACCTTGATATTAGAGGGAGGTGAGTTGTGAGATGCACGTCCCGGCCGCTTGACCCCCGGAAATAGAGCTTCTGGTTTTGATAGAATATGAGGATGGTTGGGCCCAGAATCGTTTTGGACGCTGTGGAGATGAGAAAAATCTGTTGTCTCTGCCGAGAATCGAACACCGATTTCTCGGTCGTCCACAACGTAGACCGTCGTTGTGCCTACTCAGCTATCATGGTGAGGTGGTGAATTAAGCACGGGCAATCAGAGGGCTTCCGTTTGGGTGGGGGGGCGTGTGAAGCGAGTTAAGTACGTAACATATGAAAGTTTGTGTTTATACGAGTCTGGCCCACAGGTGTGCTTCCTCTCCGCACCCTTTTGGATCCCCCACACTTTGCCCCGCTCATCTAGGGTCTGTCGGTCCACATTCCTTCCAGCCAGCTCTGCAGCAATCACGCATATTGTGTAGCAGAGACACGGTCTGGGCGCATGGGGGGAATGAAAGGCGCATCCATACGTTGTTCGCAGCGACAGGAAAACCCCGTACACACTGCGCAGGTAAAAGTAAAAATAAAATTTTCCCTGTGCTTAACTAATTAAGCAGTATGCCATGAAGACGTATGGGATAGTGGATGTATAGATGCACGTTTTCTTGACCTCGGCACTAGTTCCAGGTGAGCGGTCAGCATCACGCCTCGGCCGATTTACCCCCGGGTAAATAGCCCTCGGTACCCGTTTGATAGAAGGCTTGGCGGACCCCAGAGCCGGTCTGGACGACGTGGAGAAGAGAAAATAATTGACCCTACTGGGACTCGAACTCTGATCCCTTGGCCGTCCAGGAGTCGTTATATCGACTGCGCTGTCCCGGCTCCTCGCTGCGCAAGTAACGATGGAGCAATTGTCTCTCGTTGACTGCCAGCAACGTGAGTCACACTATCACGGTTCATGAGATGGCATTTCTTGCAGTGGACCGAAATCCGTGGTACTTTAACAGCAGTTTACTTAATGATGACATAAGGAACACCACCTACACAGTGTTTCCATAAATGATTGTTTGCGGTTTTAATGATAGCGTGAAACTGCAAAATATATAGCTGCGGGAAGTTAGTATAGCGATGGGCTACGGTCTGGACGACCGGGGTTCAATTCCCGGCAAGAGTTTTTCTTTGTATCTTTCACAGTTTCCAGCCCGTTTCTGGGGCCCACCCAAACTTCTGTCCACTGGAAACGGGGCGCGCTTTCCCCGGCAGTAAAGCGGCCGGGGCATGAAGTTGACCATATACCTCAATCTAGTGCCGAGGTCAAGAAAACGTCGGTCTGTATATCCACTCCACCATACGTCTTCATGGCGTAGTGTTTAATTTATTAATGAATTAAGCAAAGGTAAAGGTAAAGCTGTCCCTGTGCTTAACTAATTAAGCACTACGCCATCAAGGCGTATGGGGGATGTATAGATCCACATTTTCTTGACCTCGGCACTAGTTGGAGGTGAGTGGCCAGCTTCACGCCCCGGTCACCTTGTCCCCAAGGAAAGAGCTCCCGGTACCTGTTGGATGGACCTCAGAGCCAGTCTGCACCACGTAGAGGAATCAAGTCCGTTACGAATAACCCCGTGACATCTTATGACTCGATGTTAATGAATTGGAAAGAAGGTGGACGGAAGCCTCTGTGACATAATTTGAAGTACTATCCTAGCATCTGCCTGAAGGGAGTGAAGAAATTTACCAAGAACTTCAGTGGGAATAGTCTGTCATGGCCGGGGTTTGATCCCAGTACCCCTCGAATGCAATTGTTGATTCTGTAGCTGGAGGTAAAGTTGTCTACCTAATTCATACCCTAAGAATGCTTCTACCCCATACGTCTTCATGGCGTGGTGCTCATTTAACCGTAGAAACTTTCTTTTTCCTTGGCACTACAGCCCCAGTGGGCCTAGGCCTACCTCCATGAACTTCTCCGTTCACTTCGGTTTTTCTAGATCTTACACATTCGGTAGGACTCCTTGGGCGGGTGATCAGCTCGTCGCAAGGCCTCTACCTGTATACAAACACAGAAAAACGCACGCTCACACAAACTAAACATCCATGCCCTGAGTGGGATTCGAACCCACGATCCCGGTTTTCAAGCGAGCGAAGACAGTACATGCCTTAGACCGCTTGGCTACCGTGACCGGCCCATAGAGACTTTAGGTACAGATTTTCATTATCGCTGATGCAAGAGGGATGTTGTCCTGTAGACCTGAATGTGCTCTACCTCAGGCATGTTGTGTGGAGTCACTTCTCATACCGAGTATTTCATCTCAGTTATCCTAGCAAGGACGAACCTGGCCACAGAAAAGACAGGACAAAAAGAAACGAAAAGTAGAGACAGATGGAAATGTAGACAGGGACGTGGGTCTTAAGGAGAAAGAAATGTTATGTATGGCAGGGCTCCTATGTCAGTGTGTCACACCTAATTAAAGTCTCTCTTATTCAGTTGTTCCCCTACTGCATTGTGATTTACCGTTTATCACCAAGTAAAGGGCTGTGTGATCATTTGTCTTCAGCCGTGGCATTCTACAAAGGAAAGGCTGGACGCGGTGCAGTTTCCATAGCAAGAATCTCTTTTAGAGGATTTTAGAAAGTTACTGAACCGGAATAAATGGATTATATTCCTTCATTTTCGTAGAGTGGTATTTTGTGTTGCCTGTAATGGACTCCGACAGTGAAATGATAATCAGGGACACCGAGAATTTGCTATAGGCCGTTTGAAAACGCAGTTCCTCTGCCGAAAGGAAAATTTGACTGGATTGCCGTTAGGTTGTGTAACAATCGATTTTAGTCACGTAATACGTAATTGGGGCATGTACTGTCTTCGCTTGCTTGGAAACCGGGATCGTGGGTTCGAATCCCACTCAGGGCATGAATGTTTAGTTTGTGTGTGTGCGTTTTTCTGTGTTTGTATACAGGTAGAGGCCTTGCGACGAGCTGATCACCAGCCCAAGGAGTCCTACCGAATGTGTAAGATCTAGAAAAACCTAAGTGAACGTAGAAGTTCATGGAGGTAGGCCTAGGCCCACTGGGGCTGTAGTGCCAAGGAAAAAATAATACGTAATTGGAATTTATTTTTAGTTGTTTATCTTGCACCATGCAATAATAAAAAGATTTAAAATTTAATCCTTTTTTAAAATTTCTCACTGCACTTACATGTTTCGGCATACTCGGCTATCATCATCTGCACTGAAATTCTGGGGGATTTACAGTGTTCTTAAATAAAGTCAATGTAGTTCCTCCTCCTATGCACACATGGATTGTCTTTTTTCGGTACGCCTGCTGTCTATGAAGTGTGCAGGTAATAATTCAATACAGACGTTCAGTATTTCATTGATTTTAGATTGAACTAATTAGAGTAGCATGCTTTGTTGGAAATGAATTTCCTTTAATCATTATTAGTGAAGATGGTTAAGATAACAACGATAAATTTTGACTTAATTGGTCTATTTTTAAAGTTTAATAATAATTACAATTTCGAACGCCAATAACTGAACCAATGTATGAACACGTGCGGGACCCACAATGTTGTCACATGATATTCATGTGAGAAATAATTTATTTCGTAAAGAGATCATGTCTTTGTGAAGAAATGTCGTATCCTTCCACCAGAAGGCGCTGACAGTTTCGGTGAACACTGGACTAAAACGCGAAATTGTTGGCGACGGTAGGTATCAACGTTGCAGTATTATGGGTTGTGACCAGGGATAGAATTGAGGGGTAGATGCAGACACATGTCCTTTGCTTAGTTCCTGAGCGCTTCATTTCGAGGAAACCATTGCCAGTACCTTAAGACGTACCTCTCTCCCAATAGCGATGCGTCGAGGAACGAATTCTACATGTTAATAATTTTCATTTAATGCACGTATATGCTGGTCATTCCCTCGGAGCTTTTCTGCCGGTTTGCAGTGTCTGCGTATTTCTGACTTCAGGCTTCTCCCTAGTTCTGAACTGGAGCGTCTGCCTAGTTCTGCAGTGGAGCGTCTGCCTATTCTGAACTGGAGCGTCTGTTAGTTCTGAACTGGAGCGTCTGTTAGTTCTGAACTGGAGCGTCTGCCTAGGTCTGCAGTGGAGCGTCTGCCTAGGTCTGCAGTGGAGCGTCTGCTTAGTTCTGAAGTGGAGCGTCTGCCTATGTCTGCAGTGGAGCGTCTGCCTAGTTCTGAACTGGAGCATCTGCCTACTTCTGAACTGGAGCGTCTGCCTAGTTCTGAACTGGAACGTATGCCTAGGTCTGCAGTGGAGCGTCTGCCTAGTTCTGAACTGGAACGTCTGTCTAGTTCTGAAAAACAATTTCTACCTCTTAATATGGCGAGTAATTTGGTGATTGGGAACCAATTTTTGGAGGAGCAAACTTCCTCCATCTTTAGGGTGGAAGAGTGTGTAATTTGGCAGAAAAATACCAACGTTTCTGAGGAACCTGCTGCCTCCATCTTCAGGATAGGAGAATTAGTAGATTATTAGACAGCTGCCAACGTTTCGGAGGACTCTGTTGCAGCAGTTTTCAAGGTAGAACAGTAAATAGTTTGGTAAATAGGTATCAGTGTTTCGAAGAAGTCGTCTGCCTTGAGCTTCAGGTAGAATAGTGGATGGTTAAGTACCCGTAGATAGCTGCCAGTGTCTCGGAGGAATCTGGTGCCTTCATCTT